TTACCATGTTGGCCAGGCTGGTCTTGAACTCCCGACCTCAGGTGATCTGCCTGCCTCGGCCTCTCAATGCGCCTGGCCGTGCTTGGGCTCCACAGTAGGTGGGATTAGTCAGTATTTTTCACTGTCAGTGTCTGGCTTATTTCACTTTGGCGTTACATTCTCCAGGTTCTACAAGGGGGAATTTTATGGCATGTGAATATTTTAATTTTTTTTTAAAAAAGAAGTTGGTCAGGCACGGTGGCTCACACCTGTCATCCCAGCACTTTGGGAGGCCGGGGCGGGTGCATTGCTTGAGCCTAGGAATTTGGGACCAATCTGGGCAACATGGCATAACACCATCTCAACAAAAAATACCAGTTAGCTGGGCATGGTGGCGGGCACCTGTAATCCCAGCTACTCGGGAGGCTGAGGCAGGAGAATTGCCCGAACCCGGGAGGCGGAGGTTGCGGTGAGCCGAGTTCCCACCACTGCGTCCAGCCTGGGTGACAGGGTGAAACTCTGTCTCAGAAAAAAAGAAAGAGAAAGGAGAGAGGGAGAGGGAGAGAGAGAGAGAGACAGAGAGAGAGAGAGAGAAGAAAGAAAGAGGAGGAGAGAAAAAAGGAGAGAGTAAAAGGAAGAAAAGAGAGAAAGGGAGGGAGCGAGGAAGGAGAGAAGCAGCGAGGGAGGGAGGGAGGAAGGAAGGAAGGAGGGAGGGAGGGAGGAAGCAGGGAGGAAGGAAGGGAGGAGGGAGGGAGGAAGGAAGGAGGGAGGGAGGGAGGAAGGAGAGAAGCAGCGAGGGAGGGAGGAAGTTAGGAGGGAGGAAGGAAGGAGGGAAGGAAGGAGGAAGGAGGGTGGGAGGAAGGAAGAGGGAGGGAGGGTGGAAGGGAGGAGGGAGGAAGGAAGGGAGGAGGGAGGGAGGGAGGAAAGAAGGAAAGAAATTGAGAGAAAGGGAGGGAGGGAAGGAGGGATGGAGAGGGAGGGAGGGAGGAAGTTAGGAGGGAGGAAGGAAGGGAGGAGGGAGGGAGGGAGGGAGGAAGGAGAGAAGCAGTGAGGGAGGGAGGAAGTTAGAAGGGAGGAAGGAAGGCGGGAAGGAAGGAGGAAGGAGGGTGGGAGGAAGGAAGGGAGGAGGGAGGGAGGAAAGAAGGAAAGAAACTGAGAGAAAGGGAGGGAGGGAAGGAGGGATGGAGAGGGAGGGAGGACGGAAGGAAGGAGGGAGGGAGGGAGGGAAGAAATTGAAGCTCACAAATGGACAGGGTTGGAGATCTGGAGAAGCACCTCCCGGACATGGTGGGGAGGCTGAGTCAGGGGCAGCCATTCTGACACGAGTCCCCTGACCGCCACCCCTGTCCGTGGCCTGTGTGTCCCGAGGGGACTGATCTCTCCCTGCTGGCCCTGGCACCTGCCACCTGGAGTGTCTGAGACTTGCCTACTGCTGGTGGCAGGGCCAGCTGCACACAGGCGCCCAGGCCCTGAGCTGGGTGGAAAGCCAGGCTCTGGATGCCTTGAAATCCATCCTCATTTACGAGGAGGGGGTCCCCGCCTCTGGGTTTGGTTTTGCCCATGGCTCCGCAGTTTTGGAGGGGCCCCGACCCCCGAGGAGAGGTCTCTGTCCTCCTCGGCTCCACTGCAGGCTGCCTGGTCGCCTGTGATTTGTCCACACGGGGAACACAAAGCCCAGTGTCTCTGTCGGGGTGATCGAGCCTCTGAGGTCTCTGGGGGACAGCCTGGCGCCAGCTGGCACGGCTCGCAGCCCGAGGACACACACGGTGGCTGGGGTGCAGCTTCATCCACGCTGCGCTCCCCTCTGAACCCAGCCGCTCCAGGTCGAGTGTAGGCCGGGGGGTCCGCAGCTGTCACCTCAATGCCGAGTCCAAGGTCTGAGAACACCCGTGGGCTGGGGTTGAAGGGCTGGGAACGGGGAGGTTCCCAGTGAAGGCAGAGAGTGAGAAACCGTCCTAAACATGAGTCCTGACGCCTGTCATCCCAGCACTTTGGGGGGCCAGGGGCGGGGTTATGAGGTCAGGAGTTCGAGACCAGCCTGGCCAATGTGGTGAAACCCCGTCTCTACTAAAAATGCAAAAATTAGCTGGACATGGTGGCGCGTGCCTGTAATCCCAGCTACTCGGGAGGCTGAGGCAGGAGAATTGCTTGAATCCAGGAGGCAGAGGTTGCGGTGAGCCGAGATCGCGCCATTGCGCTCCAGCCTGGGCGACAGAGTGAGACTCTATCTCCAAAAGAAACACATAAACAGACAAAACAACAAAACACGATTCCTAGGGCCGGGCACGGCGGCTCACGCAGGTAATCCCAGCACTTTGGGAGGCCGAGGCGGGAGAATCACATGAGGTCCAGAGTTCGAGACCAGCCTGGCCAACATGGAGAAACCCCGTCTCTACTAAAATATTGAAAAGTTAGCCGGGTGCAGTGGTGGGTGCCTGTAATCCCAGCTACTCGGGAGGCTGAGGCAGGAGAATTGCTTGAACCGGGGGGGGGTGGAGGTTGCGGTGAGCCGAGATTGTGCCACTGCACTCCAGCCTGGGCGACAGAGCAAGACCGTCTCAGAAACAAAACAAAACACGTGTCCTTCCATACTCAGGAGCAAGACTCAGCCGTGGAAACAGCGGGGCTCCGACCCAGGTCCCAGCCGAGATGCACCCTGAGGACGTCACGCTCGGCGGGGGTGGGGGGATGCCAGACACAAAAGGCTCTGTGGTGTGCGATCGACTCTATGAAATGTCCAGAACAGGCCCAGCCACGGAGACGGGAAGGGGATGCGTGGGTGCTGGGGCTGGGGGTCTGGGACTGATGGGAGGGGGCTTCTTTGTAGGCTGATGAGAACGTTCTGGAACTACATAGAGGTGATGGGTACCCAGTTTTGCAAATGTACTGAAAACACTGCATTATGAGCTTTTGTACGTGGGCGAGGTGTATGGTATGGGCGTTATTTCTCAACAAGGCTGTTTAAAAACAATGATTCCTAGGGGTGAGTGGCCTGAGGGATCCGCCTCTCTTGGTTCGTGGTTTTGGTAAGATGTGCGCTCGCTGTGTGCAGAGTCACTGGCAGGGCAGTGGGTTGAGAGGGGCACACGACTGCTTCAGATTCATGAAATAATTTAAGCTCATCCAGATGCAATGGCTGCGTCTGTAATCCCAGCCCTTCTAGAGGACAAGATTACTTGGGTCCAGGAGTTCAAGACCAGCCTGGGCATAGCAAGACCCTGTCTCTGTAAAAAAAAAAAAAAGAAAGAAAAGAAAGAAATTAAACATTAGCCCGCAAACGATACATATTCCTTCCCTTCCCAGTCCATGAAAACTACAGCAGTGACGCGTGCCTGTAGCCCCAGCTCCTCAGGAGGCTGAGGCAGGAGGATCGCTTGAGCCCAGGAGGTCGAGGCTGCAGTGAGCTGTGACTGCACCACTGCACTCCAGCCTGGGAGAGGGAGACCCTGTCTCAAAAATAAACAAACAAACAAACAGAAAAACATGATTCAAAGTTGAGGGATTGTGTGCATAGATGCCTTGGAAGCTGGAGGAGAGGAGTGTGGGCCTCCTGCAGCCCCGTGGGGATGCTGCTCCAGCCCTTTCATCACCCATCCCTGCTGCCCTGAGCAGCGGCTGTCCTGAGTGACAGGCCCAGGTGTAGCAGACGCTGCAAGGTTCCAGCTGCTCCCGGAGCCCGAAGGCGCCAGGGCGTTCCTGTGGCAATGGCACCACCTGCAGGTCGCAGCGGGGGTTGCCGCTCTCATCCCTGCCTTTTGTCGTTGGTAAATGACCCTGAGCTCATAGAATAGAAACTGGCATTTTAAAACGTTTTTTTTTTTTTTTCTTTGAATGGACTTTTAATTTTGGAATAATTTTAGATTTTCAGAAGCGTCACAGAGAAATCCGGAGATTTCCTGTCTCTACCTCTCACCAGTTCCCCCTTATGTTGGCATCTTAGGAAATCATTCGGGTTGATTCCTTTTTGATTTTTTGTTTTCTGGTTTTGAGACAGAATTTCACTCTTGTTGCTCAGGCTGTGGTGCAACGGCTCAATCTTGGCTCACCGCAACCTCCGCCTCCCAGGTTCAAGCGATCCTCCTGCCTCAGCCTCCCAAGGAGCTGGGATTACAGGCTCATGACACCAAGCCCGGATAATTCTGTATGTTTGGAGAGAGAGAGACGGGGTTTCTCCATGTTGGTCAGGCTGGTCTCGAACTCCCGACCTCAGGTGACCCACCCGCCTCGGCCTCCCAAAGTACTGGGATTACAGGCGTGAGCCGCCGTGTCTGGCCAGGGTTGGTTTGTTTTGAGGCCGTGTCCTGCTCTGTTGCCCAGGCTGGCACAATCACAGATCACTGCAGCCTCAACCTCCGGGGCTCAAGCGATCCTCCTGCCTCAGCCTCCCAAGCAGCTGTGACTACAGGTTTTTTTACATTGTTTTTGTAGAGTTGGGGTCTTGCTATGTTGCCCAAGCTGGACCATGTACTTGTAACTAACAAGAAGCCCACGTGGGTACATTTCTGCTACATTTCACTCTTTATCACAGTTTCACTATTTTTTCTCCTAATGTCCTTTTTCTGCCCTAGGGTCCTATCTTGGACCCCACGTGGCTTTTTTACTTTTTTATGTTTTTGAGATGGAGTCTCATTCTGTCACCCAGGCTGGAGTGCAGTGGTACAATCTCAGCTCCCTGCAGCCTCCACCTCCCGGGTTCAAATGATTCTCCCGCTTCAGCCTCCAGAGTAGCTGGGATTACAGGCACCTGCCAACATGCTCAGCTAAATTTTGTATTTTTAGTAGAGGTGGGGTTTCACCATGTTGGCCAGGCTGGTCTCAAACTCCTGACCTTGTGATCCACCCTCCTCGGCCTCCCAAAATGCTGGCATCACAGGCGTGAGCCACTGCAGTCCGGCTGCCAATATGATTTCTGTGCTTGTCCAGTCATGAGCGCCAGGCCACTCTCCAGTGCTGACCCCGTCGCCACTGCCATGGCACCTCCGGCCAAGCGACGCCAAACTAATGCTCTGTTGCTTTTCCAGGGAGTGGAGCTCGGTTCCGGAATCTCGGCGCTGCGGACGGCGGGACCTCCCATCCAGGTCGGTGCCACGATGCATCTCTTTGTTCTGCTTTGAGGCTCCGTTGGCTGTTTTGAACCTTGGATATGAAATGTGGGGTTGCCGTCGGGGGCATCTTGGCCTTGACCTGTGGCTTTGGGCCTGTGGAGACGGGGCTTTGTGTATCCACCAAGTGTGGGTGATGGGGAGTGCGTTCGGGGAGCAGCCGCTGGCTCCTGGGAGAGTTTCCCGCCCACGAGGCAGGGGACGGGCGTGCGCTGCTCCTACTGCTGGGAGTGTCCCGGAGGGGTCAGCGTGGGAAGCCACGGGGGTGCTGCCTGCCCTCCCTGTGTCCTGGCCCCGTGGTAGGGCGTGTTAAGGAGGGCGCTTCAGCCTTCGCCCCTGTCTCCCGCGCACCTGGGGGCTGACCCGTCACTGGCCCTTTGGGTCTCTGTAGGTTTATACCTCATTTTCTTCCCTAAAGAATCATGAGTGGCTTTTAAAATGTAGGAAGAGGAAATTATTTAAAAATAAGTCGAAAGGAAGGCAGAAATGTCCAGAAAGGCAAAGGCTGGGGACGGGAATGTGCGCCGGGGACCTGGCCAGGGACGTGGAAACGAACCCGATGGTTGGGTGTGGGTGGCCGCAAACCTGGTGAACTTACTAAAAAAATCTCTTTAAAAAATGTTTTTTTATTTTTTATTTTTAACAGTTAGGGTCTTGGCTGGGTGCGGTGACTCACACCTGTAATCCCAGCACTTTGGGAGGCCGAGGAGGGTGGATCACCTAAGGTCAGGAGTTTGAGACCAGCCTGGCCAACGTGGCAAAACCCCGTCTCTACTAAAAAAATATAAAAATTAGCTGGGCGTGGTGGCGGGCACCTGTAATGTAATCCCAGCTACTCAGGAGGCTGAGGCAGGAGAATCACTTGAGTTTGGGAGGAGGAGTCTGCAATGAGCTGAGACTGGGCCACTGCACTCCAGCCTGGGTGACAGAGCAAGACTCCGTCTCGAAAGGAAGGGAGGGAGGGAGGGAGGGAGGGAGGGAGGGAGAGAAAGAAAGGAAGAAAGAAAAAGGAAGGAAGGAAGGGAAAGAAAGAAGGAAGGAAGGAAGGAGAGAGAGAGAAAGAGAGGAAAGAGTTAGGGTTTGTTTTGTTGCCCGGGCGAATCGGCCTCCCAAAGTGCCAGGATGACAGGGTGAGCCACGGCCCCCGGCCCCGGCCTCGAAGTATCTTTGAGCCAAGCCCAGTAGGAACCTATTTGGTCTCATCCATAGTAACAGTGATCACGAGAGGTCATTCAAAAACAGATGTGCTTAAAATACAGATGTTCAAATGTAGAAACAAGGCAGAGAATCCAAATGTCTGTGAGTGGATGAACGGACGGACAGAATGTCATCCCTCCACGCCGTGGAGTATTACTCGGCCGTGAAAAGGAGCGAGGCTCTGATGCAGGCCACGGTGTATCCGCAGCAGCTGGAGGACGTCACGCTCAGTAGGAGACACCAGACACAATAGTCCACACGGCGCGTGATCCTGTCTCTATGAAACGTTCAGGCCCGTCCGTCCGCAGAGTCAGGGAGGGGATGCATGGGTGCCGGGACTGGGAGGGGGATGGGAAGTGATGGCCGATGAGTTTCTTCTTGGTGTAATTAGAATGTTCTGGAATTAGATAATGGGACGGTCACAGGACTCCGTGAATGCCACTGAATTACGCCTTTTATTTTCATTTGATGATTCGTTTCTTCTTTTTGGTCCCGCAGAGACTACCCAGAAAGAATCGTGCATTTTAAATGGACACACTGTGTGTCATAGGAATTAGGTCTCAATAACACATGCACGTGTATATAGAGCGAGCTGTTTTATATATACATAAAGTGTAGGCCGGGCGCGGTGGCTCACACTTGTTATCCAGGCACTTTGGGAAGCCACAGCAGGTGGATCACTTGATGTCAGGAGTTCGAGACCAGCCTGGCCAACATGTGAAACTCCATCTCTACTAAAAACACAGAAATGAGCCAGGCATGGTGGAGGGCACCTGTAATCCCAGCTACTCGGGGGACTGAGTGGGGAGAATTGCTTGAACTTGGGAGGTGGAGGTTGTAGTGAGCTGGAATCGTGCCACTGCACTCCAGCCTGGGTGACAGACTGAGACTCAGAAATAATAAAATAAGTGTAGATACAAATATGTATGTGTGTGTGTATATATATATGTGTATACTGCCTTCTCATACATGTATACATTTCAAATACATATATACAGTTGGAAACATGCTCAGTGCCACAAAGGATCTGTCAGCAATGCAATGTTTACTTCCTGAGCTGCAGGAAGGGGACCCTCACCAGCCATTTTGCCACGAGAGTCCAAAGAACAAAGGAAAAGCAGACACATTTATCCCTCACGCATTTGGGGTCGTCCTTACTGCTGTGCCCGATCTCGGTTGGCTGGAGCCAGACCTCACCGTCTAAACTAAAACCTGAGCTAACAACTTAAAATTTTCCTAAACGGGTAAGAGCCTTGGAGAGCTGGGACACGCCTGTGAGCACGTCCAGCACGGATGTCTTGGTGAAAGCACGAGGACATGGAGGGTACCGTGTGCCTGTAAGCATGGCGTGTCTAACAGCTACACAGGACAGGGCTTCACAGAGTTATTGGCACACTTACGATTTATTCTTTAATGAGAAAGGAAACTCTAAAGAGCAACTTAATTACTTTCCCCTATACGTAATATTTATCTGTTTATGAAGCCAAAGGTAGCAATATAAAAGATTTCCCGTTGTACAATTCCACTTAGAGGAACATTCTAGAAAAGGTGACAGAGATCAGAGGTTGCCTGGAGGCTGAGGGGCGGGATCGGGGCAGCTCTGGGGGCGGATGACAGTGTCCCTCTGGGGTTATGCTGATGGTTGCACAGCTGTGGAAATGAATAGCAACTCTTAGAACCATGAGCACTTTAAGAGGAGCGTGACCTGTGTACATCTCAGGGTGTGTCACTCACACCCCGTGGGGCTGTGACAGGAACAGAAAAGTTCCGCCCGAAAAAGGAGGCACAGGCGGTGCAGGGTGGGAAGGTGTGCAGAGCCCAGAGAGGGCTCAGACGTTGCATTCCCGGCACAGGTGGTGCAGGGTGGGGAGGTGTGGGGAGCCCAGAGAGGGCTCAGATGTTGCATTCCCGGCACAGGTGGTGCAGGGTGGGAAGGTGTGGGGAGCCCAGAGAGGGCTCAGATGTTGCATTCCCGGCACAGGTGGTGCAGGGTGGGAAGGTGTGCGGAGCCCAGAGAGGGCTCAGACGTTGCATTTCTGGCGCTGGCGGTGCAGGGTGGGAAGGTGTGGGGAGCCCAGAGAGGGCTCAGACGTTGCATTCCCGGCACAGGTGATGCAGGGTGGGAAGGTGTGCGGAGCCCAGAGAGGGCTCAGACGTTGCATTCCCGGCACAGGTGGTGCAGGGTGGGAAGGTGTGGGGAGCCCAGAGAGGGCTCAGACGTTGCATTCCCGGCACAGGTGGTGCAGGGTGGGAAGGTGTGCGGAGCCCAGAGAGGGCTCAGACGTTGCATTCCCGGCACAGGTGGTGCAGGGTGGGAAGGTGTGGGAGCCCAGAGAGGGCTCAGACGTTGCATTCCCGGCACAGGTGGTGCAGGGTGGGAAGGTGTGGGGAGCCCAGAGAGGGCTCAGACGTTGCATTTCTGGCGCTGGCGGTGCAGGGTGGGAAGGTGTGGGGAGCCCAGAGAGGGCTCAGACGTTGCATTCCCGGCACAGGTGGTGCAGGGTGGGAAGGTGTGGGGAGCCCAGAGAGGGCTCAGACGTTGCATTCCCGGCACAGGTGGTGCAGGGTGGGAAGGTGTGGGGAGCCCAGAGAGGGCTCAGACGTTGCATTCCCGGCACAGGTGGTGCAGGGTGGGAAGGTGTGGGGAGCCCAGAGAGGGCTCAGACGTTGCATTTCTGGCGCTGGCGGTGCAGGGTGGGAAGGTGTGGGGAGCCCAGAGAGGGCTCAGGCGTTGCATTCCCGGCACAGGTGGTGCAGGGTGGGAAGGTGTGCAGAGCCCAGAGAGGGCTCAGACGTTGCATTCCCGGCACAGGTGATGCAGGGTGGGAAGGTGTGCAGAGCCCAGAGAGGGCTCAGACGTTGCATTCCCGGCACAGGCGGTGCAGGGTGGGAAGGTGTGCAGAGCCCAGAGAGGGCTCAGGCGTTGCATTCCCGGCACAGGTGGTGCAGGGTGGGAAGGTGTGCGGAGCCCAGAGAGGGCTCAGGCGTTGCGTTCCCGGCACAGGCGGTGCAGGGTGGGAAGGTGTGCGGAGCCCAGAGAGGGCTCAGACATTGCATTCCCGGCACAGGTGGTGCAGGGTGGGAAGGTGTGCAGAGCCCAGAGAGGGCTCAGGCGTTGCGTTCCCCGCACTTGCTGAGCTGCCCTGTGTTTGGTGTTGGGTTTCTTCAAACATTCAGCTGTGGGCAGGCGCCATGGCTCACACCTGTAATCCCAGCACTTTGGGAGGCCAAGGCAGGAGGATTACTTGAGCCCAGGAGTTTGAGATCAGCCTGGACAACAGAGCGATACCCGCTTCTCTACAGAAAATTAGGCAGCTACCGTGGCGCGCACCTGCCGTCCCTGCTACTGGGGAGGCCGAAGTGGGCGGATCGCTCGAGCCCAAGAGTTCGAGACCAGTCCGGGATACGTGATGAAACCCCGTCTCTACAAAAAATACAAACATTGGCCAGGCGTGGTGGTGCACAGCTGAAATCCCAGCTACTTAAGAGGCCGAGGCAGGAGGATCGCTTCTCCAACCTGGGCCGCAGAGCTGGACCCTGTCTCTAAAAAACAGAAACACATGACCCCATTCATTTCAACAGGGAAACGCTAGCAGCTGCGGAGCTAACGTTCTCAGCAGGAAATGTTGTGGTTTCTGGTCTCCTGTGGACGCCTTTGGAAAGACTGCCCGTGATGGGGGGTCTGCAAACTTAGGCTGGTGGGGCTGCCCTGGAAGCCCCCAGGGCCTGGGTCGGAGACTCCGTCTCAAAAAAAAAAAAAAAAAAAGTCTAACACAGGC